CTTGTAGATGGGTGTCACACTGGCAACTTCACACTTGTGTGGGAAGGAAAGGTCAGCTGAAGAGGATGCTTGGAACACAGAGCTGGGTGAAGAAAGGAAAAAAGTCTAAAAGAAAATCCACATGTGCAAAATAGGGGAAATGAGTTGGAGTGTGTAGTGGGGAGCCAGGATAGGTGTGAAAGGAAAGGTAGAAAGATGAAATGGTGGAAATTAAAGAAGAGGCTCGTGAAGAGACCTTGTTTCCGTCAACATGAACCTTCCGTGAAGGGGAAGGTTATGGAGGAGATCATCTTGAGTGCCATTGTCTTTGACACCATTCCCACAGCATTCTCCTGGAGAAACTGCCAGTTCACAGCTTGGATGAGCATACTCTTTGCTGGGTGAAAGACTGGCTGGATGGCTGGGCCCAAAGGTGACGGTGAATGGAGTTAAGTCCAGTTGGTGGCTGGTCACAAGCGGTTTTCCCCAGGGCTGAGTTTTGAAGCTAGTTCTGGTTAATATCTTCAATGATCTGGATGAGGGGATCAAGTGCACCCTCAATGAGTTTGCAGATGACACCAAGATTGATCTGCTGGACGGTAGGAAGAGGGATCTGGACAGGCTGGATTGAGAGGCTGAGGTCAATCGCATGAGATTCAACAAGCAAAGTGCTGGGTCCTGCCCTTGGGTCAGAACGGCCCTATGCAGTGCTACAGGCTTGGGGAAAAGTGGCTGGAAAGCTGCCTGGTGGAAAAGGACCTGGGGGTGTTGGTTGACAGCTGGCTAAATATGAGCCAGCAGTGTGCCCAGGTGGCCAAGAAGGCCAATGGCATCCTGGCCTGGATCAGAAATAGTGTGGCCAGCAGGACTAAAGAAGTGATCGTCCCCATGTCCTCAGCACTGATGAGGCCACAGCTTGAATCCTGTGTTCAGTTTTGGGCCCCTCACTACAAGAAAGACACTGAGATTCTGGAGCGTGTCCAAGGAAGCTGGTGAAGGTCTAGAGAACAAGTCCTGTGAGGAGCGGCTGAGGGAACTGAGGCTGTTTAGACTGGAGAAAAGGAGGCTGAGGGGAGACCTTATCACTCTGTACAGCTACCTGAAAGCAGGCTGTAGAGAGTCTCTTTTCCGAAGAAACAAGTGATAGAATGAGAGGAAATGACCTCAAGTTGCACCAGGGGATGTTGAGATTGGATATCAGGAAAAATTTCTTCATTGAAAGGGTTGTCAAGCATTAGAACAGGCTGCCCAAGGAAGTGGTGGGGTCACCGTCCCTTGAGGCATTTAAAAGACATGTAGATGTGGCACTTGGGGACATGGTTCAGTGGTGGATTTGGCAGTGTAAGGTTTACAAGTGGACGCAATTATCTTAAATGTCTTGTCCAACCTAAATGATTCTACAATTCTATGACCATTTGCATTATTTCTTCTACCACTGTAGTCCCATTGCTGCCACTAGAGACAGGTAGATGTTTCAAAGGATAAAATTTGCTTATATTATAATTTTGTCCTGGAACCTATTCTGTGTGGAGCAGCTGAGGAAATGTAAAAATACATTTTATAAATTTGATGGAAAACAGAAGAAAACATTCCAAAAAGGTTTGCAGGCATCCTTCCTTTCCTTTCTCCTGACTTGCCATGTGTGGATCCACAGGTTACTCCTACGTGATAAATCAAACAGTGCCAAGAAGTTGCAGTTGCTGCCCCAGGGCTAGATGGTCACTGGCATAGCAGTGGCCAGGACAGCCAGAGGACTCCCAAACCCTTCTTGTACTGGGGTTGGTCAAGGAGGGACTGTCTCCAGAAGACAACCTGGATCCAGCCACCTTGTTTTGGAGGTGAAGATAATTGAATGGTATGGACACAAACCATTTGGACACAGGCCACCACTCAGCTTCATTAATGGAGAATAGACCCCAGAAAATTCACTAAATTTTCACGGTGGTGAAACTGTTTCTGTGGATTTGGAAGCAAAACAGTACCTAGTCTGCGTGCACCATGGCTATGCCATCACCAGCAGTCTTACTCTGTCATTAATGGATAGACACAATAGACAGCAATGCTTTCAGTTGTTTTTTTATTGAACAATAATAATCATATACTTTTTAAAACCAACCAGCTTATTAGATTTACATTCAATAACTCATAATGTCATTTATGACACTGTTGCAAAATAGTAATAATGTATGGAAATATTTATTACATTCTTTAAATAATTCACTTCAGTCTGCTGAAGGACCATGAGTTTGATCCTGCTCTCACTGAAATAAAGAAAAAATGACTTTTTATATCAGTAGATGAGAATCAATATGCTTGCTTGTAAATAGCCCAAGATACTATTGCTCCCTCTCAGACCTAAACATTCAATACAGGTTAAGATGTGGTATACGCTATTTTGAGGTTTATGTTTATGTGTCTTTGATTATCATGGCAAGAAAGCCTGCGCTGCTGCACTAATGTTTGGATGTCTACTGTTGTCACTGTCCTCTTGTTCTAGAGCAGCATGGTTCAGCGCTGCTTTCGCAGGTGAAAGCAGCCTGCCTCTGCCGACTGCAGGCTGTGTCTGCGCTACCACTTACTGAGGGTCCAAGTCTTCCTACACCGGATCAGATGAACTCCCTGTGAGTCGCAGCTCGACCACAGCCAGCAACGTAGATGGTCCATTTGCTGGCCTCTGGCATTGGACCCACTCTTCCCCAAGACATCACCTTAATGGCACCAAAGTAGCTGCTTTATAGAAACATACATATTTAAATAATGCTAAGCAGCTTCTTCCATTTCAGGTCCCTGTTTACAAATCTGTATAATTTACCAAGCTGCTGTTTCTCTGTACAGAATGCAGCTTCAGAAATCCACCTCAACACAATATATGTCTGCAGTGTCTTGGCTAAGATATTCACAATATATAAACTGAAATGCTGGGTGTTTTCTCACTGAAGAAAAGTATATTTATCTCTGAGGAATTGTCATGAAACTTCCAAAAACCAGAAAATGACTAATGACTAATGTTTTTATTTAATTCACACTGTTGTGCTCCTATGTTATTATTATCATTGTGATTCAGTGGTGTTGCATTCTATCCTGGGATTTGTTTATCCTGGGATGTGCGTTTCTTTCACCTTGGCTCCACACCAGTCATTTCACTCATCTAAACTGTCCACTGAATTCAGTGAGAGCTTTCCCAGCCTCAGGGTGCAAGAGTCAGCCTCCGGCATTATTTAAATGAGGAGGGTTGAATCGTGTCAGTTTTTTTAACATTACTATACATTCAGGAATCCCCAATACATTTCTCCATTCAAATACTTAGCAAAACAAACATCAAATATCATATACACTGTACAGTCTATTTTTAAGTAAACATTTTTCTCATGAAAAACAGAATCACAATTATCCTTCAGAGGTTACATTTTCATATGCTATAGATCTACTTTGTTTTTAAAGTGTGCTGTTGCATATTCAATAATCTGTGACAAATGCATTCACTTGAAAGTCTTATAAGTAAGTATCAGCGAGGATTTAGCCATTTCATTACTGGAGAGCAAATAGCTTTCTCTTTAACGAACTCCTCTTTTACAGAATTGCCATCCCCTGATGCCATGTCATTCTCTGAAAATATAAAAAAACAAAAGGCAGATTTCATGAAAATGAGAGAACTAAAATATTGTCCTGCAGCGAAGTCCGCGGTTTTGGGAACATTTCAGAAAAACCTCAGCTGACAAATCTTGCAGGAACCTCTCTGAATGCCTCCAATTATCCAGTTGCAAACTTTGTGCCAAATTATGGCATGAGTCAGATGTTTAAGCACAAGACAGGCAATCTGAGTGCAGTTTCCAGTTCTCCCTGTAACACTCCAGTGTGACACGGGACCAAGCAGCACATCCTCAATAGCTACAGCAGTAAATTAAACGTGCCTGGAGCTGTACTCTGATTGAGGTCAACTGGCATGGAATAGCCTGGTGCATGCCACTAAACATTTACTCTCCAAAAAAAGGTAAAAGATATCCAGTTTGTTACTGGAAATGGTCCTTGACTGACACGGATTCCTGCCAGCTAAGCTGGGAGAATGCATGCCAGCCTCTGCCCTGCTGTTGACAGTGAAGGTGGACAAATTTCAGTACAAAGGAACACACTCTGGCACCACTAGATTTACTAGGGTACATGTTGCCATAATGTCTTTATGAAATATACAGGCCAGAAACTCACCTGTTTAAAATAAAGAAGTGTGAAACTTTTGCATGGGTAAAAAATACTGTTTTTATGGGGTCAGGAACTAATCCTGGATGAGATCAGACAAGGTGCTAAACATTGAGACAGCAGAAGGCTTGGGACCAAAGGCAAGGCAGGGAGAGGAAAGGGGAGGAGCAACTGATGAAAACAGGTTGCCTGGGAAGATCTGGAATATAGGCTATATAAAGAAAAAAGCAAGACAGTAATATTTTTCGTGTTATTTCAGCACCCCTGGTAATAAAAACTGGAAGGGCAAAAGAGCACAGTTATGTAGAAAAATACAAAAGGATGAGGACTGATCCATCTCATAACTTTTTTTCAAGTTCACTTTCAATGTGAACAATGAGCATAAGCTGGAGAATTTTGCTTCTGTCTAACTTTTTCTAAATGGAGAGTGGGGGAAGGATAAATCATGTCTTAAGGCAGCAAACTCTAGAGAGCTTAATATAACAGGAGAAAATTAAATGAGGCACATAAAATGCAGCTAGAGAAGAAATAAAATTAATATCCTTTCGAGTGAAATCCTAGAAAGGCTCACAGTAGGTATAGGATTAAATCTCTGATAGTTGTTTATAATCTTTACATTTGTATTGACTTTTATTGGTATTTAAACTTAGAGTAAACATTGTTCAGTCAAATATACCTCAGTATCATCAGGTGGAGAATAAAAGGGGAAGAAATTTTAATCCCAGCTTTAAAAAACTTCAGTGGTCTCTTCTTCCTGCCTCAAAAACATTCCAGTTTCTCACATGCCTTTTTTAAAGAAAAAATTCTGGGAAGATCTGTTACAAGGTTCAGATATAATCTTAAGAACTTATTCCAGAGATACTGTGATAAATGGCTGCAATAAAACATTTCATAGAACAGTTCACTGACATATGAAAACTATTAAAGCTCTGTCTTAATGGAAAAAAAAAATGTTATTTTTACCATGTATTAGCTAACATTAGTAAATGCAACCTGGTGAATTCCTGTTCTACACAAAGCAGGTACAGGCATTGCATCTGAACTGGCTAATGCAAATCCTAGCATAGCCTCCCTTTGCACAGGTGACATGTGCATGTAACAGCTGCAAAGTATTTTGCCTATGTTAGAATTTAAAAATGTTTTTACCGTGTGTCACAGATTACCTAATTCCTTGCTTTACGTTAAGGGACCTGCCAATAAGAAAAATAAACGTACCTTGTGGAGTTAGCTGTTTGCACAGCTCCACCAAAGTACACGTCACCAGCACACAGCATATGCAGCATGGTAGTAGATCACGTATAAGGTGATTTCTGCTAAAATCAACTACCCCAAAAAGTCTTACCTGTGTGTGAAACTATTTTTCGTCGATTCGGAGGCTTTGAAGCAGACAGCTGAAAAAATGGGAACTTCAAACACTTCCCGGTTACTCTGTCACAGATGCCAGAGGGACAGTTGCAGGTTTTCCTGCATTCCATTCCATAGGTACCGTAAGGACACTCTGAAAAAAAAGTATACAGCAAAGCAGTCCTCAGTGATCCAAGTCAGTTTCCAGCATTCTTAATAGCTGGTCTGCTTATATCCTTAAAAGCAGAAAACCTTTGACTGGAGGTTAGCTAAACCTTACCTACAGGATTTCAGTGTGCTGACTGCTTGTTACAAGTATTTTCCAGTTTTAACAAACCTTGACACACATTATATACATACTTTATTTTCCTATACCTTATTCACAATGTGCTATTGGTAGTCCCTCTCTGAAACACTCATAGGATTAAAATGCAAATTAAAGGCAATAAGAATTTGTCAGTATTTAATCATAGAGGATGTAGTTAAAGGATTAGCATGGGATTTAGAAAAGAAGATGACTTCAGAAAGTTCCTGAATTCACTATTTGGTTATTATATTATCTGACTTACATGACTGTTGTGATTTAGAGCTGTAGTCTATTACTGGCACCAGGCTACTTGTGGCCATGTCCACCACGTGTAGGCTTGGTGGGGGCTGCCGCCCTAATCCTGAGGAGCTTCCCAGCAAATGCACCCTACACCTGTTGATGCTCTCAGATCTTGGGGAAGAGCCTTCCCCTATGTGACAACTTCTCAGAGAGCAAAGGTATGCCTTCCTATGGCAGACAGCAAAGAGCTCACCTACATCTCCAGCCTAAAGAGTGAGTATGCTCTAAAGGAGTGACTGGCACTAAGGTGGCTGCCTGGTTGTACTCCATCTGGTCACATAATGCCCCGATTCAAATCTCCCATTCCTAAGCAAGCTTGTAGTGGATCACCAAAGGGAAGCTGTCAGGATGGTACCAAATATTTTTTGAAAAATATTGTCAGGTACAGAGGATTTGCCCCATCCCATAGCTGACACGTACCACATGCTGGACTGCATAACTTCCCAGAGAGTTTAACCCTGGGGTCACAGAACTTGTCTCCCTCTGCCTTGCTGTTGAAGAGGGTACCTTCCCAGCACCATAGCTGAAGAGATGGAGACAAGGAAAATCCAGCTCCAACATTCCCTTTGCAAACCCCCAAACAAGAGATCATCCCAAAAGAAGTCTGGGCTGTCCCAGGAGAAAGGTCTTTATGCTCAGGCTGTCCTTGTCAACCCAGGGTACACGGTCACCTTTAAGTGGCAAGTCCTGGAGAGTTTCCAGTTCAGCTCCTAAGGGCAGATGAATGACTGTTCAGGGCTGTACCAAGGATCCATCCAGCCCAGGCTCCCACAAAACACTTCAGACAGAAGATAACCATGGTAAGCACAGAACATAACCATGGTAAGCAGAAATGATACCTCCTCCCTCATGCTCTCACCAGTTTTCAGCTCTGGGACCTCCTGAGCCAGACATCGTTTCTGTGCGTACAATACCCCACAACAGGGTTATCCTTCTCGGTTTGTCCAGTTTCCTCTTGAATCAATGCAAATATTTAGTTTCAACATACAGCCTGGGCTATCTGAAAATCAGGCTGATGCCCCAAAGCAAAACCAACATTTTACAATTCTCTGCATGTCCAGTGGGTGTGCTTTTATAAATGAAAAGCATAGGAAAATCAACCAATTCCCTGCTAGGGACTGCACTATTAATTCCTCCAGCCTGAAGGACCTCACTGAGCTTCACCATACTCCCCTTCCCAAGCAAGGACAGTCTTTGATCTGCTGTTTGTCCACATAAAACAAAAACAAAATACTGCCAAAGCAAAATAGTTTTTGTGTGCACAATCCTCCCTGAGGGACAGGCTGAGAGCACACACCACATGGAGCATCAATCTGCCCACTGCAGATGCTCAGCCCAGAGAGGTGGGATGCAAGGCTGTGCACAACAGCACGGAAACAAGTCTGAGCACCAAAGCACTTGGCTCCATGTGGAATAATCCTGGCATTGATGCTGCTCTTCAGATTTGATGCAGCTGAGATCTGGGTCAGTTTTGCTGTTAGAAGGTTTTGTTCAGAAATAAATTGCGAATCACTGACAGTGATCTAGGGGAAGCAAGAGCAGGTTCTCTACTATGACAATTATACCTCAGTTTTAGAAAGTATTTGCTAATAGAAGTGCAGAGCACCAGTATTCCTTAGTCTGTTTTGGACAATAATAACACTCCTATTGATAATAATATGATGCACTCTTATAATACTAAAAGTAACAAAAAAATAGCTCTGAAACATACACTGTCCATGTTTTACCCACTTTAGAAACAAAAAATTGAAGAACAGAGTTCAGGTCATTTTTCCACAACTTCAAAGTAAATCAGTTGCAGGCAACCAGAGAGAATTTATCCATCCTGACCTGTGAATTATTACAAACATGGAAGTTACTAAAATGAGTGAGTGATCTGGTATCAGAGATAAAAATGGATATATAAAATAATAATACTTGGCCCCACACTTTGCCTGATAAAACTCACATACATACAGAGACAGATTGTGCTATCTCAGAGCTGAGATGAAAAAATAAAAATAATCAGAATTGACATCTATAATATTTAGTGCAAATAAATATATGGGGAATATAAGCCTTAAATACCAACTTACAACTCTAAGTCAAGATATGGCTTTCTTGAACTTAATGAGAGTTTTTCCACTGACTCACTGGAAAAAATAACTTTTTACTTTACATTTTCTACAGAGCTTCCAAGATTCAGCTACAGGGATTCAGATCTCATGTCCTTCAGTGTTTCTTTTTTTCCCATTTGAAGTGTGCTATTGCAAAGGAATTCATATGAGCACAGTGATAAGTATGTAATCATTCAAAAGAACTGTTAAAAGAATTAGAGGCGGTATCTTGCACTGCGGACATTTTTTGTAAACTGAAGATCAGTCAACTGTCTCAGTAAAATACTTTCCTGGTGGGTGCACCAAAGATGCAATCTTTATGCGTAAATTCTAGTCTTCAAAAATAAAAGTAGTATTTTGGGTTTCACCCTCAAACATGCACATGAATTTGTTTTTAAATACCGATGTAAATAAGCGTGTGCTGTGAGTCAGCCTGAATGATTTTTGCAGCATCTGCTCCTAAGTCATTACTTCAACTGAGGCTATTAATATACTGATATTTAACTGCCAAGAAATCTCCGCTTTTAAGGAAGTTATTCAAAGGCATATCTGTATCTACCTACTGAAGTGGCACACGAAAACAGGAAAACTCACTGCATTCATACTTTGCAAAGCAAGCCTCTTTAAAAAAATATTTATTGTAAAAACTTTCATCCTACTTTTTAGTAATTTAATACCTCTTCTCCTTTTTGCATGGAGTGAGGACAGCTCTTAAATGAAAAATGCCATTCTAGTCTATGACTAAAGAAATCAGCATGCAGCATACCTGGAATAAGCTGAGAGCAGTGGCTGGCTTCTCATTTCACAGTCAGCTCCTGTTCTGTTATTCCCATCTTTCAGGCAGGAGGGTCTCTGTTTGCCTCCCCTAACCACATCCCCGGGGTAGCTGAGCACCTCAAAGGCAGGACTGGGTTAAACACAACAACATCGCCAGGCACTCAGGCAGTGCTGTTATCTTCATCTCCCAGATCCCAGAGAGAGCATCTGGTCCCTGGGCAGGCAGCCGGCAGTGCCCAAGGGAACCTCACACCACAGAAAGTGCAGCAGGGACCCCGTGACAAGGTTGGACTTGCAGGATTAAAGTCTTTGCAGTTTATAGAAAGCCACCCACCAAACCAGCGGAAGGATCAGGACTAGTGCCTGTGTCTCCCAAGTCCCAATCGAAAATCTCATCTCTGAGGACACCCCATCCATATTTCCTCACATGTCCCCAAGTCTAAACAATATTCTCACATTAATAACCCTGTCCTGCCTACATGTAACACCTTTCAATACCAGCAGGTATTTTTCTCTTTCTTCTTGGCTAAGGGCTGAGCTGGAAAAATCCCATTTTAGACCTTTCAAGCAGGAGGCAAGCTCTATATGTAAGCTGCTGTCAAATTGCCACAGTGGGTGCATGCAAAGTGAATATTGTTACCTTTGCAGATACCAAATTCATCACCAAAGTCATCCTCCTCAGTGTAAAACTGGCACTTCAGCCCAGGACCACACTTGACACCATCCATACCCGAGACCGTACGATAGCAAGTCTCCCCCAGAGCAGCTGCACACACTCTGCAACAGCCACAGTCATCCAGCACCGTTCGCTTACAGCGCAAGGTACTTTTGCATGCGTTACTGTCACAGGGCTCGGGACAATCTACTGCATATTTCGCACTCCAAGCAGTTCCAGCGTGCACAGGCATCAGGAAGAGTGTGAGAAACAGGAAGCCCTTCATGTCTTGCACGGATAAATGCTCCATCCCAAAGAGCAGGCTTTAATGCTCAGCCTGCTGGTGCCTTGTGCCGAGGGAAGTAGCGGTACAGAATCCAAAGTGGTAGCTGCACACATCAGCCTACAAGTTTATGAGCTTTATACAGTGTGTTGCCCACATGCTGCACCGTCGTCAGCTTCCTCAATCCGGCAGCGCTGCTCCTGCCAGCCTCCCTTGTTTCAGTTTATGAAATCCAGGATGAAGGTTGGATTAGCACTCTGCTGCCATCCAGGAATTGAAAAGCCTGAGCTGATGTAATCTGTTATGTTTAGTTGGTTGTTTTGCATGAGGACTAAAAACTCTCTCACATCCGTCTCAAATGCTCAAGGACGTCTGCCAAAAGAAAAAAAAAACCACACACAACCCACACACAACCAAAAAAACCCACCCCAATCCCAAGTAGGTCACATACCTTCCTGCAGGACAGGGATCGCTCTGACACTGGGCACACTGCTGAGAGGACAGACACGCCTCACTAACACAGCTCATGAGGCCAGAAGAAAATCACACTGAATCATCTCACTGCTGAAAGAATAATCTTTAAAAGAATAAATCTTTGCCTTCCCCTTTGAGGGGACGTGGACAGATACTTTAAGGAACAAAGTGAGATCAGGCTGTTTAATAGCCAAGCTCACGTATTTCAGTAGTGTTTTTCCTGCCTGCATCAAATTGGTACTTTCTAATCAGTATTTAGGTTGAGATGAATTAAACATTTAATTCAAAGATTACTACTAGAACTAAAAACAGGTCAGACAGAAAACAGTATTTTGTGAGATTTTCTGCAGGAAGTTCAAGAGAATGATCAATGACCTTTCCTGACCTCACAACCAAAGGGGGAAATCCCCGTCCATCACAAGCACCATTTGCACAGCATCAACATGAATCCAGGGGGTGGATTCTCCTCCCCTTTACACCACTTCTATCCTGATCAAACTCCATCAGATGCCCTGATGTTGCTTTTCAGTGAACAGTGTAAATAAACAGAAAATAGGTCTCATTTCCCCCGTCCCCCCCTCTTAGGCTTTATTCATGCTGCCAGAGTCTTGACAAGAAATAGCAAAGAAGAGTTCAGTGAAACAGATGAGCCACGAGAGGGATGGAAATTTCTGCTCTAAAGATCTACAGAAAAGGAAAAAGGAATAAAGCTAACCATAAACAAATCTCTGAATACCCAAAGTTGCTGCCACTGAAGTTAGTGAGAACGAAATCAGTCTAAACTTGCATGTGACCAGCTTGCCATTTGGGAATCCTGTGTCTTGAGTGGGCTGAGGACACTGCCAGCAGGCTGCCAAATAAAATGAAGGGCTATGCTGGAAACACTGGAGAGCAGGAGAACCTTTTGTTTGTGAATGCCAATGTGAATTTATAGATCCAAAGCAAAATGCTTAACTCTTGTCTCTTGTGAAGAAGACCAACATACTGTATGTTGCATTTGGATAGGTTGTTCATACACTTCCAGTATATGTGGGTAAAAGAACCTGGAGAGCATAGCATAGCATACATTGCATTGCATTGGATTGCATCTCAGAGAAAGAGAAGAGAAGCACAGAGAAAGAGAAGCCAAGCAGAAGCAGAAGTGGGAGAGGAGAGGAGAGTACCTGTTATGTTTAACACATGTCAAATGGAGACTAACCCCAAGCAAATATTTGCAGGTATCCATCTTATACAGTATATAATTACCCGAAATACAGTTCTTCTAATCACAGTTGCCAGCTGGCAGATGTTTACATGCACTAGCTCATATATGTTTTCACATGTAATCTTGGTCCAATCAGTGAATTTAAAGTGTAAAAATTAAAGCATTAGGTCAAAGTCTCATATAAACCAACAAAGTGCTATTGGTAGCCATGAGGTGACAGGAATTAGCAGTAGTAGACAACTTCATCTTCAAAATCCAATCCAACTATCCTCTGGGAACTGAAAGGAATACTTCAAACATGGAAGTGAAGATTGCAGCTGAAAACTGAGGAGAACAAAAGTGCGAGGTTATAATGAGCAGATAAATTAGAAATTGATGTGCTATCCCTGACCCCATCACAACTACAACGTGGCAAAAGCCTGTTTTGAAAAAAAACAAAAAACAAAAAACAAAAAACATCTCACCCATAGTTCACTGGTCAGCAGAGTAACATAAACCCCTGCCCACTTCTGCTGGCATGAGCATCAACTAAAATTGTCATTGGTTCGTATTAACAGGTCAGGCTGTAACCTGTGGGGCTGAGGAGCCTGTGTAAATCCCACTGGGCAGTTCCTCAGCGGGAGCGAGAGGCTCAGTTCAATTAGAGGGCCAGGGAGCACAGCCAATGGGCAGCAACTGTTTCAGTCCCCTGGCCAAATCAGCTCACAAGGGTGAAATAGCCCAAAGCAGCAGGTTGCATACTTAGTGCATGAGACTTCACAGGTCTGCAGCAGCAAGGAGCAGGAAGGCTCTCCTTTAAGTCCCTCCATTAAGTCTTCCTTAAATTAATCCGAACCTGCCCTTAAATTCATACCTGCTTGCTCACTTGGAGGAGATCGCAGAGGAGTGTATGGACCCATCTACACATGCACTTAGGCGTTTATGCCCGGTAGTAAACACCACCTGGTAAAATCCTGTTCTGCAAATGTATTTATGAAATGCTCCTTGTATAGAACACCAAATAAGATCTGAAAGGGCTGCATTTCATGTTTGGGTTTCTCACAGGGAAAATGTCCTGGGGAGATGATAAATAAAAAAATTACACACAGATGTGGTGAGGAAAAGAGATCATAAAAGAAATCAGCACACTCCCCTAGCAACTAGCCAATATTATTTGGAATAAGATGGAAAATGTATTCTGTGCTTGGAGCTAGATGCCAAAGTAAATTATTACAATGGATTAAAAAATACATGTAGTGGAAGAAGACAATATGAACAGATAGAGGTCTGGCTGATACATGAGTATCGTGAAGGAAATAATGATACTATGATTTTCCACACTGTCCACTGACTAAGCAGTGAAATAAATCCAATGTCAGTCCCTCTGGTCTTAATGTTTATTTGTTGTTTTACCTGTTGAATCCATTAAGCTTTTCTTTCCAATGAACAGCTTGACCCCGTAAAGCCTCAAACTAAGCTCTCCCTTGAAACCTGGTGAAATGGGAATTAATGAAGCTTCCCTAGCTATCAACAGCAGAAAATTTGGCACCTCTGTTTAACTTGTGGTATAAATATACTCTAAATGTGGAAGATATTCTGGATCAGATCAGTGCTAATTATTTTTTTTTCCATATTTACAGTATAAATTGTCTTTGAGCCAGTTTACATCATAATTATATCACCATATATAATGTTTGGCATTCCTTCTAGAAGCAGAAAAGGTTTCCACCCTTAGGTTCAACACTTTACAGGGAACTGTGCAACCACAGCTTTAGTATCAGTGAGCTGTGAATTGTGTTTCCAGTTGAATACATCAGAGCAGAAATTTTCTAGATGTTTTTCAAATAATCCATTTCTCAAGCAAAAGCAGCTTGTGTGGGGGTCTTGAGGTTGTATTTATGTCCTCTGAAAAGTTTGAACTCACCTGTTAAAGATCCCCGTGAAATGACATACCTCATGATACGTGATTAATCTGTGCTGATACACGGGAGAAGTCTATTCATTAGGCAAATTCTCTAAGACTTTTCTCATTTTGCTCTTTAGATAGAAAGCATAATTCACTTCAATTCTTCTGAATTTAAGCATTCTGGCCACTGTCATTTTCCAGTCTTTTGAACATGTGAAGTCAGGATAAGCAGGACGCATTGATATCTCTTTAAACATAGGAAAAGGTTTAATGCATGACCCTTGCTTGCTAATTTCCAAAAGGCAGTCCTAAACTAAAAATATGTTACCGTACATTCCTGAACGATCCAACCTTTTCCCAGGCTTCCTTTACAAAAAGCCATAAGCACAATGCTATACAAGAAGCAAAGATTCAAAGGGAAACACCGAAAGGAAGCTGAGCTGCAAAGTCCAAAATGAAAAGCCAGAAATAGGAAGTAAAAGATAAGAATCAGGAAAGTGAGACAGCGGCAAGGACTCCCATTTGTGTTATTTCTTTTCTTGTATCTTTTCAATGAATTGCTAATTACTCTTTGTTTCGACTGTAACATGGCAACTCAACTTCACTCTGGTAAAAATAGATGCTTTGGGAGATTTCCTACTTGTTGAACGCAAAAGGTGTTTACATCCTTTCTCTAGGCAGACCAGGTGCTACGCAGAGAACTGGGCAGGCTGGCTACCTATGCACCAACTTCAACAGCTACTGTAGAAATGACTGGATATGGTGGGGTTACCTGCAGAGAGCCTTGGGAACTAGAGCCATACCTTGTTCAGAGCATATTAAAAATATACTTGCCCATAACACCACATACAAGTATGTGGCATGTCCAGCCTGGGAGCTGGAAGCCAAACTGATAGCTCATTGTCATAGTTTAAAAGGCCAGACAGCCTATTGTTTAAACACCTGGTGGGCTGAGGCAAGGACAGGGAGGGTTTCACTCACCGCTTAGGGTCATGGGCAAGAAACCAACACAACTTGGGAGAAACAAAAAAAAAAAAAAACAATTGAATTTATGAACTATTTACAACAAGAAGCAGGATAATGAGAGAGAGAACTACATCTTAGAAAGGCACTTCTCCCCCACCCCTCCCTTCTTCCCAAGGCCCAAAGGCTTTGTCCTGTACCTTCTCCCCCTGGCAGCACGGGGGCAGGGAGTGGGGGGTGCAGTCAGTCTGATGCTTATTCCTCCTCAGAGGAGGGCTCCTCACAGTCTTTCCCAGCTCCAGCATGGGGTCCCTTCTCATGGGAGAGTCCTTCACAAACTGCTCTGGCATGAGTCCTTCCCACACGGGGTCACAGTTCCCTGACGACTGCCCAGCTCCAGTGTGGGCTTCTCCAAAGTTCCAACATGAGGTCCTCCACAGCTGTATCTTCTCATGAACTGCACCAGAGGAGAAACCGTGCATCACCATGAGTCCTCACCAT